ATATGGGTCTGAAGAATGCCTCACCAAGAGTTTTGGCTCAACAGATTGCAGTCAACTGTGAAGCATGGTGGTTTCAGCATGATGGTTTGGGGAGCTGTTTGGGTTGGTGGGAGATCGAGCTTAGTGGAGTGCGTTGGCAACAGAAATTTTGTTAAATATGTCGAAATATTGGAGGAAGGACTCTTGTCACTTTATTCCTCGGGTTTCGTGGACAAGAACACAATGTTGTTCCAGGAAGATAGAGCACCATGTCACACTGCTAGAAACACCCAAAAGTGGCAAGAAGAAAATGGTATCCAGAAGTTGCCCTGGCCGAGCCAATCTCCTGACATGAACCCCATCGAAAACCTCTGGGCCATACTTGACCGGCAAGTCAAGAAACAACCAAAAAAACCAACTTCGAAGATCGATCTACTCCAAGTTTTGAAGCAAGAGTGGGTGAAAATCCCACAATCTAAAATTGACGAGATGATTCTTATGATGCCCCAAAGGATCAAAGAACTTCACGAAGCGAAAGGAAGATCTACTAGATGTTAATTAAATTATAAATATATCAATTCATGTGAATATGACTGAGAAATTTCATTTTTTCTGAAAAGGTGGTGTCTATTTACTTTTGACCATGCTGTGTACACAAAAACATTATTGCATGTCTTGACCCTTTCATAGTACAAGCTTATTTCTCTGAAAGTGTGAAAATTACTCTTACAGTTTATATTATCTTGAGAACTGACCAATCACAAATTGGATTACAAAAATCTGTACTCAGTTTCCTGTTATAAGTTACTTTAGAGGTCTAGTTTTGTGTGGGGAGTCATAAAGTTAGAGACACTTCTATACTTGTACTGTTGAAATGCATTTAGCAACTCTTGTGCATTTGCTTTTTATGCATTATTTAGTGTACAGTTTGCATATTTTATGTAGAGTAGATACTAGCAGTAGCTCTGTTACAGCACGCTAACTCTGAGACTTTTTATATATGCATATTAGAAACTGGTTAGATTTGTCAGGGGAATGCTTTCAAGAAGAAGTTCTAACCATACTCTTTATAGCAATATATGACATGTAGCTGCAGGTATAGTGATAAAACATCCATCACAGGGTGGAAATTGGGGAACATCTGGGTGCAAGTGATCACTCCTCTATTGGGTTCAATGTTTTGATAAGGAATAATATATGTTGGTTATAAATTTCAATAAAGCAAATTTTTAAGGGATGCAACAAGAATTATCTGTTGTGAATTGGGCAGCTGAGATCAAGAAAGTTGGTGAAACAGGAAATCAGGACATAAAAAGGATATATGAGAAAAGGTTGGCTGAAAATGTAAAAATTAACAGTAAGGATTTCTTTAAATACATTAAGGGTAAATAAAATGTTAGGATGGGGGCAGGACTCTTGAGCGATGATAAAAGAAGTCTCATATCTGATGATTATGAGATGGCTGTGTTATTAAATTCTGGTTTTTCTTCAGTTTTTATTAACAAAGATTTAAGCAGTATTCCACACCTTGAACAGTTGATATGTAGAAACAAGATCGAACAAGATGACTGCATTAATTCTGAGCTTGTTAAGAAAACATTGGGAAGTTTAAAGAACGATAAGGCTCCTGGCTCAGATAATATTTCCCCAAGGGTTTTGAAGGAGGTTAAGGATTGTATGTGAGAGCCACTTACTACTATTTTTTATAAGTCCTTGAATAGTGGGCAGGTATCAGAGGATTGAAAGTTAGCTGATGTCATTCCTCTTTTCAAGGGAGGTGATAAACATTGTCCCAGTAATTGTAGGCCCAATAGTCTTTGTCAGGAACTTACTTTTTTAGTAGTATGTAGTAATATAAATATATGGGTGTGTTGGGCTAAGGTTTCTTCTATAGTAGGTGTTTGTAACTTGTTGGCGATAAATTCAAAAAATAAATGAACAGCATGCACTCTACTTGTTTTCAAAATAATGTATATAATCGAAACAAGTTAAACATATATATACTATGGTGCTCATAGTTATATCATAAACACTATATAGTTCTGTTCTTTTTGTCAAAAGCCAACTTAGACCTATTCAATTGCATTTGAATTCATTTGACAAGGTGAACTATTTTTCTCAGTTTCTATCACCAGACTATCCACGTATAGTACACTTATGTTGTCGTTGAGTTACTGTGGTTGTATCTCATTCTTCTAAAATCATCTGCACCTTTTCATATTTCCAAGAATCGTCTGCCTTTTGTCAAAGTCCAATCATGCTAGTTCAATTACTTTAGAACACCCTTCGATGAGACAACTTATATTCCTTATCTCTTACGAAATTCTTAATCTCACTCTAACATATCAACCATTAGGCTTTTAACTCCCACGACGATTAACTTTGCATTTAGCTTTTCTCTGGCCAAACTTCTCCTTTCCATGACTTTACTCTCTTCTGCTATTTTTTTTTGTCTGCTTGGCACTATTTATATGTCTATCACTTAGGCCTTCTAGAAATCTCTATATTTTCGACCTCAGTGGATTGCACACGATGTTCAATAGCCTCGACATCAATGAATTATAAACACAATGTACGATTCTTACAGAGTTACGTAACCAAACTTGCCATAACTATCGCCTTTAAAATAATAATAATTGCCTTTAACTCTCTTGTTATGAAAAAAACTAAACAATCATGAAATATTCACTCAAAATAAATAAATTAATAATATCTACACTAAAAAGTCTTTTATATCTGACAGTCTTACATCAGTTGTGGGAAAAGTTTTGGAAAGTTTGATAAAAGATGTTTTGGAAGGCCATTTAACTAAGTTTAGAATTTTATTAGATAGTCAACATGGTTTCACTAAGGGAAAATCTTGACTAACAAATCTTTTAACATTCTTTGAAAAGGTTACTGCTTATCTAGATGAGGGTAAGGGTGTAGATTTGGTGTATTTTGGATTTTCAGAAAGCATTTGAAAGGTGCCCCATAAAAGTCTTGTAAAAAATTATCTCTATAGGTGTGAGGGATTAGTTAACAAATTGAATAGAAGAGTGGCTGGATGGAAGAAAGGAGAGGGTTGTTAAAAATGGAGTTCAGCCAAACTGGATTAATGTTACAAGTGGGGTACCACAGGCTTAGTCTTTGGATCTTTGATTTACATCAATGACATAGATGAAGGGATAGTCAATAAGATACTTAAATTTCCAGAGATATTAAGGTCTTGGGTGTTGCTAGCTCTGAAAAGGATGCTACTGATTTACAAAAGGAATTAGATCATTTAATGAGTTGGGAAATAAGTGGAAAATGATTTTAAGTATAATAAATGCAAGATAATGCATGTGGGTTATCATAATTTGAATTATAAGTATAATTTGGATGGGAATAACCTTAACAGTGTCACGAAAGAAAGGGACCTTGATGTAATAGTTGATCAGTCTCTAAAGCCATCCAAGCAATGTGCTGTTGCTAGTGGCATGGCAAATAGGATTTTAAGCAGTATCTACAGAAATATTGAGTACAAGTATAAATTTATAATTTCATTGTATATGTCACTGGTTAGGCCACATTTGGAGTACTGTGTTCAGTCTTGGGCTCCTTACCTTAGGAAGGGCATTGAACTGTTGGAAAAGGTTCAGAGGAAGATTACTAGAATGGTGCCTGGGATGGAGAGGTTGTCAAATGAGTAGAGATTGAAATCTCTCAAATTGTTTTCTCTTGAAAAAAGAACAGTTAGAGGGGATCTGATTGAAATGTTTAGATCGTAAATGGAATTGATAGTGTCGATGCATCATCTATTTTCATGTTTAACAGTGAGAATAGTAGGACTAGGGGACACAAATATAAATTTTGGCAGGGTAGGAGTCATGTTTAGCTAAGACAGTTTTATTTTTCTAACAGGGTGGTTGGCCTTTGGAATGGGTTGCCTTCAGATGTTGTGAAGGCAGTAAATTTAAGAGAAAGCTTAATAAGTACATGAATGATAAGGGCTGGTTTTAAGATTTTTTTATAATAGTTTTAATTTTGTTTAGGGGATGGGACAGCCGAGATGGACCAATAGGTCCCATGTTGTCCCAAAGCATTATGTTATGTTATAATATTATGCTGCATGGGAAAAGATCAACAAAAATAGTTTCTTTATTTTGTATTAGGGAGTTTTAGTTAGTGATTGAAGTGTTTACCCTCTAATGTTGTTTATGGCTACGTAGAAAAAATTATATATTTAAATGTTATCAAAATCACTGCAAATAACTAGGATAAAGTGATTAATCTAAAATAAAACATCTTTCAGCTTAAGATTTCATACCAGGCCTTTTTGATTACTTGTTTTTCCTCCTTAGGATCTTAACCTGATTATCAAAAGTTTGTTACATAAGTATGGGGAAAATGTAGGCTTCATTCGAGAAGACATAGAAAAGGCACTGGACAGGATAATGGAGAATGCTTCACTACAGAAAGTTGCTCTAGCTGTAATTGGTGGAGGTTCAATGTAAGTGAAACTATGTCCTGCTTATGTTTTAATTAAAATAGAACGTGTATGTTAAAATATTATATATGATAAAAGAAAAAGATAATACTCATGTAGAGGAAAGAATAAAGAGTAACAGAATGTGAATTAAATATGAAATTCTTTCATTTATTTTGTTTCAATTTTGTAATCTAAAGAAAAAAAATTAATCAAGAAATTACATCTCATAGCATTATATCAGACAAACTATTTCACAATCAGAACTGTGAGAAGACATCAAAATTGGCTTCCATATATATATCAATCTATTTATCCATCCATATATTATACTTTACAGGTGTCAAAGTGTATTAAGTGGTTGAGATTATTGGTGTTTTAGTTCGAAAAAAAAATTAGATTTAAAACTTTCAAAGTATTTTACTACAGCTATCAGTTCTGTGATTCATATGTACATTAAACTTAGCTTCAAGTCAAATTCTGATACAAGTATGTAGTCTCTCCAGCTTAGAGAATTTAGTCTAATATTGCAGTGTTCTTGTGTAGCCAAAGTACTTTAGCACTTATAGAATTTCAATAATGTAATATACAAATGTATACTGTAATTTTTTTCTTTCCTATTATAAATTTGTTTTCATCTTTTCATTTGTTGACAATTATAGAATTTTTTGCTTTTACATTTGTTGTGTGAATTTAGTATATATTTTTCCAGGTCATTTATTACAATTCTTCTTTTTTTTTTTCGTGGTTTATCCTCCAGCCATCGAAATGCTGCTGTTCGTAAGCTAGCTGCAGAAGTTTTATCTAAAGCTGTTGATGAAATAGGTCCAGGCAGGTTGATTACATATCACAAAGAAGTTGCAGAACAAATCTGTTTTGCAGCTGCAGAATTTGTAGTTGATGCTACTCCATTAGCAAGGTATATTTATTTAATATTGTATACAGTACATTTCTGTTTTTTATATTACTAAAAGTAGATGAAATGAAAATTACCTTGTATCTTATGGTTGAGATATAAAATCAGCATATTTTAACCTTATTTTAGCTATCAGTAAGTGTTACACATTCTTATACATTCAACCCACTTGCTGTATTTTTATATTTATTATTTGAGATGTGAGAAAGTGCAGCAACTTACTATTTTTACATGTAAATTACATTGATGTTTATAAATGATTCTTGGGATGTTCTGCAGTAACTTTTCAGTGTACCAGTACATTACAATGATGGCTATGAACATTCTGTGGGATATGGGAAATGTTGGTGTAGCAGTGTGTGCAAAGATTACACTGATAGCTATGTGCAATTAGTGATGTTTTTTTCACAAATCTTTCACTTTAGTTGTGTGTGGGGAGTGAACACTGAGTTTGGGCACTACTCAAATCATACCCTGACAATTGAGTAAGTTCTGTGATTGAGGTACTGAAAGTAAACTGATTGCAGAAAGGTAATTGCCAGAATGTACAAAGGTTTTACAATGAGCTTTTTGAGCTATGGTTTTATCTGTTAATAATTTGCTTGTTGAACTTCTTATCTCTTAACTAGAATAACTTACAGCTGCTTAATAATAATAATGCAGGATATTAAACTGAGTTAGTTAGAACATCTAAGTAGATAATAGAGAAAAGGAAAACAAAACAAAACTGGGCAAGAATCATAACTCTGCTCATAATCTTTGCCTGGTTGGTTTTGTTTTTCTTCTTTAGAAAAGTGAATGTTGACCAGAGAACAATATATTACAACTAGAAATTGCATTGTTAAAATACACAATACTTTAATTCTCATTTTATAATGACAACTGAACTAGAAAACAAGGAGTTGTTAAAGTTTGCTTTTTGTCATTTTTTAGTTTGTGATACTTGACAAGTGACAAAAAGTTATCTTAATATAAGACATCTGGCAGTACTAGCTCTAATTTATATCCAAATACAAACTTTTCACAGTCATCAATGTACTTTTGTTTCAAATCAAATTGGACAAGAGTAATATTGATAAATCAAGTTTTTCTACCTTTAACACTTTTACTACTTCATGTCACAACTTTTTTTTAGAGAGTTGCATATAAGATTTAATTAAACTACCTTAATGTCATGGTATGTGAATAAACTTGGCATAAAAACATAGTTAATAAATCAGACTTTAATATTATATAAGTTTTAAGTTCTTAATTTTTTAAAAAAATATTTTCAAAAATCCTCAATCTCATGCATGTATGAGAATTGTGGCATTTGCTCTCTAGGTAATCCCCTCCTCTCTAATTTATTCACCACTAAACTGAAAAGTATGGAATTTAATGTAATTACTCATCATTGACGAGCTTAGCTGAATTTTTAATGGCTCTTATCGTATAGTTATAAAGCCAGAAAAATTATTATAGTTATGAGACATTGTTTGTTTTTTGCATGTGATTATTCTGTGTTCTTAGGTGCAGTGCATTATTCAGTTAAATAAAAAAATTATTTATTGTAGTAGTACCATTAGTATAAAAAAGTAGGGTTAAATTTCATTGATAGTTGACAACAACAACAAAAAAAAGAAGATCCAGGTAAGTATTATATTTCTGTATTCTTTATTTATTATTATAAAAGTAACTAAAATTCATAAATGAGAAACTTATGTTAGATAAGGTTAGATTAGATAAGATATAGAAAAAGAAATAATAAAATTCTATTGCAAGGTATGCTCATGAGTAGCATGTGTCTTATGTTACTCAATAGGCTAATGTGAGCTACATATTCTGCCAAGTGAATTACAACTTGAATGATGGGATTATTAGTTAGGCACTGTTGAAAGGGAAATAAAAAAAATAACATTTAAGTATAAACAGATGTATACTGTTACAAGTTTAAAGCTATTTAGGATAAACAAGTGTAATTTCATGTTACAATTTGAAGTCATTCTAGGAAGAAAAAAAGGGTAATTTAGATTTATTTCATATTTTTTATGGTGGTTACGAGGTTAGTCAAAATGACCAACCTTGTATAGAGTTAGGGTGGAGAAAATAACAGATAAAATATACGGTTTTAATGAAAGAAAATATCTGAAATTTGTTTAGGAGATTACACAAATGAAATTTGATCAAACCTGGTCAGTAATTCACACAAACAGTCCAACTCAAGACTTCCCTGAAGATGGCAGCTGAAACATAGGATAAAAACTAGCTGGTGATTAGCATCTAGTTATAAAAAAGTACTAATTAATAATTTCTTAGGTGATCATATAAGCTAGTAATCATGACAACGGTTGTCATAACTTTACTGTAAATTTGAAATGTGTATACTTTTTTTATTATGTTAAAATTATAATACTTGATGTAGAACTTTAAGATCAGAATTTTATGCAGGAATTAGCATGAAGCTCAGTGATATTATACAAAGTGAATTATGTATAAATGAGTACTGTCCTTCCCTGTTCTCACATTACTTTTTGATGTGTAACTTTATTAAACTACTTCATGCAGGAATTAGCAAGAAGCTCAGTGATATTATACAAAGTGAATTATGTATAAATGAGTACTGTCCTTCCCTATTCTCACATTACTTTATTAAACTTCTTCACTGATGTTGTCTATCAGCTTGAAACCCCACTCATTGAAATACAGTCTATTTTAACATGTTATGAAGAATAACACATATATTCTCATGCCCTTCTCAGACATTTTAAAGGTGTTTTGCTGTTTTATTTTTTATTCATAAAAAAACGTGTACTTAAGCAATAGTATGTGTACATCATGATTACTTAGGTTTATATGGTTTTAATGTGTTGATATCCATAGTCAGCACTGATTATAAAATATATAAATGGGTTAAACATCTCTGAATATTTATCATTTAGATACTTTGGAAGAAAGATATATGAAAGTTTAATGTCACAGCCACAGTTTGACAAGATGTTGCAAAAGTGTCTACCCTTCAGTACTTTGAAGAATATTGAAAGCATTCTTGACACCATTAAAACAAAGGTAATAATAGTTTTTGTTTTTATATGTGTGGTAGATATATAATCAGATCATCAGTCAAAAATAAGTCATCTGTTCCATTACCAGTGTTTTGGATTACGTGCAAACTGTTCCTTTACCAGATGCTTAAGAGTACCTGTGATCTGTTCTATTGTCAGTGCTCCAAGTGTTACAATGTTTACTACTTTCAGCTTATTAAATACAATAGAATTTGTTCATCATTTGCAGATAGAGCTCATAAAATCATGCTCATTTTTCATAAATGAGGTTTCTTATGTGCATGTTTAACACAAGATTTATTCAATTCTGTATGAAATTCAACAGTATTCTTGCTGCTGATTATGGGTTTAGAAGTTTTACAAAATATCATGGTCTGTTAAAACCTTTCACGTCTACACTTTAATTCTTCAGGATATTGTTTAGGGTAATAGTAATGTTAGTTATATTACAATTCTATATATACTATGACATCACATCATTATTTCAGTTACATTAGATTTTGATGATTACTTTCTTAGACAGGAAAACTAGAAGAGCAGTTAATATGGCAAAGTATTATTATTTTTATCGATCTTTCTAGAGGCTTATTGAGTTTCCTTTTCAGGTTTTAGAGATTTAACATTATTTAATACTTCCTGTAGCCAGCTCTATGTATTTATTACAGAGGATATTTAAAGTAAGAGTGGTTAAGGTTTTAGACACACCACATATTAGGTTTAGGACGTTGGTTTCTTTTTATTACGTTTTTATTGGCAGTTCAGGCCTTATTTTATTTTATTCATTTTGAGTTGCACTATGGTTGAATCAGTGCTAAAAATTCAACACAGTTTAAACAGTAATGTGTCAAATACAGATGTTACCTGTGGTGTAATGAGTTTGCTTTGGTCAGAAGATGGGTTAGGGAGAACTGAAGAAAATAAAGGCATGGTACACTAAGTTTACATTTTTCCAACATATTTCTTCTATAACAGTAGTTCAAGCTGATAGTTAATGTTTCTGTATTCCATAATTAAAGTATGCTATATGATTTCTTTATTGTTACTTTTATTAACAGTATTGGTTAGACTGTTTAATATATCTAGTTTTATTACTTTTTATCATTATACTTTTAGTTAGAATGTATTTCTGAATTAGCTTCATATATGTATTTAGGATTAACCTAAATCTCCTAAGCTGGCCAAACTTTGTGAGATATTATTGGGATTGCTGCCAAAAATATCATTAACAGTGAGCATACTCAACTGCATTCTAAACTTTATGTGCAAGAAAAGTATATTTAGTTAGCTATACCGATTGCAAAGTTGATTTTTAGTTTTGCTGTAAGTACATAGCTTGCTCTGATCAGAAGTTAATATTAATTATTTGTAATACCCGCAATCTGTTCCATTACCAGTACCTTCAAGCTGTTTCACTGCCAGTCCCTTCGGAATACCTGCAACTTATTCTATTTCTGGTACTTCTGAATAAACACATAGCAATTACAAAATAAATTGTACCAAATTTTCCATATCCCAGACACTAGGTGAGAGCTCTACCAGCTGTGATAAAGGGTTAACCCACTAGCAATTACTAGTATGGCAAATTTTTAACAGTTCTGTTTTTTTATTACTTCTATTTACTCAATGACATCACTCTTCATTTACCGGAGATATAAGATAAGGAGGGCCTCGCACACAACCTTCCCATGGTTCACTCATTTAATCTTAGCATTAAGTTTCTAAGAATGTCAAATGATTCTTTACTATTTAATTAGGCAGATGAATTTATTTTTTTTGCTTTGAATTACGTTGCTACCGATGTATGACAGAGATTCTTGTCGTTATTACCTTTGGAGTACATTTCAACTTGTATTTGACATCCAAAAGACAAGCTCCATTTTTTCTCTATTGGGTTTTCACTGTATGTAGAAGAAATTCTGGGGTTCTCTAGATTTGCTGATTTCTTTATGCCATTCTTTCATGATAAAGATCTTTGGATGATTGGATTGAGAATTGCACCAAAGTTAGCCTACTGGATCTGGCTATATTTTCCTCTGCTTCCCTGTTTATAGATTGGCAGATATCAAAAAGGTATATTTTCCTAGATGTTTAATCACATCTCATTTCTTACAAGATATGATTACTGGGTAGTGCACACAATTTTTTGTGCTTTAAATATTCCTTGGTTTCTTTTACACACACACGATACTAATATTATTTACAGTTTCTGTTCAGGAAGTACAAGAGCTTTGCATGTCCAACAGCAGATGTAATTATGTTCTTTTTATTGGATAATGGTGATAGGAAGTTTGTTGAAAAATTACTTCTTTTTTAAAGTTTTATTGGACCTCTCACTGATTCCTCATTCTTTCTATCTCTACAATTCCCCTCTCTTTTCCTACTCCACCAGGTGATTTAAGACTTGTGTAATTGTTTTGGTATAAGTAATGTAAGTTTGGTCATTTCCTGCAAGTTCTTTTTGATTATAATTTTTACTCGTATTTTTATTTTATGTTCAGTTGTTCTCCATGATAAAGCATTATACACTGAACCATATAAAAAAAACCCAAAAAAATTGGTTCTTGATGAAATATTCCTACATCATCAAATGTCTGACCCTGTAATTTATTAATTGTAATGGCAAAGGCAATTAATTAAGAGAAAGTTCATGAAGGTATAACTTTTATTAAAAATGCTTAAATCTTTTGAATAAACTTTAAAAAATATTTTAAAAAAGGTTAAAAACATCAATAATAATGTATTAAAGTACCATCTATTGCATTCAAAAGATATTTAATTTGTTTTTAACATATACAGTTCCTTGAGTTTATGTAATATGATATTACCCTTAAGTATTCTATAATTACATTCTTATTTTTCCAAATATTCAGAGAACTTGTTGTAGATATGATAACAAATATAATAATAATTAATGTAAAATCACAACTGGGATTTGAACTCAAGACTTCCACATGATAGTCAAACACTATAACCATTGTGACATTCAGTCTTGTAATCAAATCTTAACCCTTAATTCAAATCCCTAATGTAAAGTATCTTGTTACTGTTTTCCTCATATTTTAATATATTGATCTAAATATGATGAGTTAAAAATTAAAACAAAATCCCCACTCGCCTGGGATTCGAACTTGAGACAAACCACTGGGCCAATTTGAGCATTATGAACAGAGTCAAGCATTATGAAAAGAGAGTGGCTGTTACTATATATGATGCTGTTTTCAAAGCATAAGCCTTGGCATATTTAGTTCACCATTTACTTCATCTCTCATAACACTCTTTTATGCTTTTATTCTGTGGTATTACTGGTTTTTGTTAACTTAGGTATTAACATTTTATACTACTGTATTTTTTAGATGAAGTGATTGTGTACAAAATTGGCTCCTCTGAAACTCACCCATTGTAAAAACTACACTCTAGATATTCAAGACTGTAAACCATCAAGATATTAGTAGTTAGCACATAAAAAATGAAACAGATCCTTGGAACCATTGCCAAAATATTGCCTAGCCAAATCTGACCATATTATTTGTTTTCTTTGTTTTTGCACACCCAGTTTGTTTTTATGGTGCATGTGTTTAATTTTCAAGTTTCAGCCATCATCTCAATATTTATCCAATTGCTTTGAAATAATATCTCTATTTCCTTCATCTTCACCTTACTAGCAATAGTGTTTGTGGCCTACTGGGCTGGTTTTATCTAAAACAAAATATAAGTTTTTAATTCTTTTAAATTTTACAGGGACAAACAATACCATTACTTTTGTTTTTGTAAAAACTTTTGTGAAATTCTGATGAGTAAAATTTTAAATTGCCTGTGCCAATGGGTGGAATTTAGACTGGCTTGCTTATATCCCAGTATTATTTACTATTCACTGTGTGAGGGGGGTGTGTTTACTGACCACAGTTTATTCACATGTACCTATTAATATATAAGCATTTTAAGTGGTTTTGGCTGATTGGCAGGCTTTGGCCAGAACTTCCCAATTTTGACTGTTACTCACTATTGAAGTGTGGTATTAACTTGTGTGTGGTTAGTGTTAACATTAGCAAAGATTTTTTGTTATTAAATACATGTATAACAAAGGCATATGTATTTCACAAGAAGATTGATATCTAAACCAAAAACAACTTGGCTGTGAAAAAAAAGCACGACCAAGTATTGTTTCAACTAATGAAAAAACAGATGTCAAGAGATTTGTTTAAAAATACCAGTTGTAAGCATAGTAGTGTAAGTGTTTTATTAAACTTTGTTGTAATAAATGTTTCCAACAGTTGATAAATATAAGTGAGACAATTTTAAGTGATATGATTCATGTTCCATAGGGAATTGGTGAGAAGCCAAAAGAAAGTGTATCAGCTACTCTGAAGAAGTGAAATCCAGTTTCTGAAGAAACTACAGTAGAAGAAATCTGTGGTGCAATATTGTTTATATATCCTTATTATGTGTAGTGTTAAATTGTGATTAATATTACATGAATATTATAAGTATGTTTGTTTTACAAATTATTGTAAATTTGTATAAGTCTATTATTATGTTAATGAAATGAATGAAGACATGTAATTATATTTTACTTACTAAAAGTTTCCCATTTTTAAAGGCTTATTATACAATTTAATTTTTGTGTCATAAGGTGACATCTGGTTGAAAACTTGACTGAACTTATAATCATGCACATATTTAAGATGCACACACCTTGCACATTTTGAATATGTAAATTAAGTATATGTAATTGTTGTGAGAACTTACAGGTGACTGGAGTTGGAAAATCAAAATAGATCAACCTTACACTGGAGAAAGTAATTCAGTTTTGAGTTATCCAGTATTTTACATCCTAACAACCAGATGTTCTTTTTTTTTCACCATTACCTTTTTCTTTTACAAAACATGAAATTTAAAAGGCATTATTTTTCTTTTCTTTTTGCTTTCTTAATAATAATTTATATTGAAACTCTGGTTTATGTAGATGTGTTTTAAATTTATATTACACAAATTCACACACACACAAATTCATGATAAAGTTTATACTCAAAGTAATTCCTGTCATAACAAATGGATATCTATGTTATCAACTATACACTGATGGAGCCTTGTTTCTTGTATTTTGACTGGCCTGTTTTTCAAAGTTGTTGAATATATATATAAACTGGAAATACTAACATAGCTATGTCTTGTCAAAAGAAACAAAAGAACTTTTATCATATACTGACTGGTAAAGGACATTTGTGATTTACTGACACTTTAAAAACAGTCAACATTTTTACTGTTTAAGGTCTATTTACTAAGTATGATCATACTCTCTCCTAGAATACATCTACAACTTCTCTAAGAGATCTATTACTTCATTATACATCTATAAATGAATGCTATTTTAAGTAATGTGTATGATTTTTGAGTTTTATCAGAGTTTACTCATAGTATATTTGTCATACACTTCTTGAAACTGGAGTTTGCAGTTGATGTTAGCTTCTAGTTTGTTACAGAGCAGAAAAACTCCAGACATTTTTCTATGGAGTGAATAGGTTTCTTCTGGTGGAGGAGTCAAGCGGTGATGCATCATGGTGGGAATCAAGTTATGGATCCTCTTTGTTGTATCTTGTCGACTAAAGTCAAAATTACTGTCTTTAGAAAAAGCTTCACCTAGGATCATGACAGCATCAACATGAGCCTTTTTCATTACCTGAAGAAAAAAAAAATTATAAAAAATGATTTCGTTACAAGCTGACAAAGAAATGAGAAAGTGAGCGTTATGACTTATTACAATTGACACAAGATATTGGTTTGGATTGCACTATTAAAAATAATTTCAATCACTGGAAAAACAGTTATTTGATAAAATGCATCTATTTGACTTGCTTCTGATACGCAAGAGTGAATGACAACAAACTGAAGTAAAACTAAATAATACTAAAGCAATCCAAATAAGAAACAAATGGTAAGTCTTTAGAACTATGAAAAATCTACTGTTTTGGTCTTTAACACTATAGTACTAATTTTTGTTTTATAATATCTCAGATAGGCTTTTGGCTGCTAGTATTAAATAAAAGATCTATGCAGTGAATTTCTCCAGTACAAATATATTTTGCTAATGTCATTGTAGCTTTTGAACTTTCTACATAGTGACAAAGAAAGATTATGTACAACCAAGTCCTGTACATGAAAGAGAACTACACTAAAAGTAATGATTATAAAATGTCCAGGAAAGAAAGAGATTGTAGAATTTCTGAAACAAAACAAAGTAACAACATTTCAACTGTTGTCCTCAACTAGTATGGACACCAAGCAAACTAACAGAGTTCCTCTGGTTATCATATATTATCCAAAATGTAATACTTCACACGGCGGAACAGATCCGGCGGATGAGGTCAACACAACCCAATGGTCATGATGGCGGTACTAACTGCTGCATCTGGGCAGATGGGACTCAACAGCCTTGGAAGGCAGCTCATCTAGGGGAGGGAAAACCCTGACTTCAAACCCCTGCTGCCTTGCAGATGCATCTGACCATGGAAGGCTTCAGGAGAAAACCTCAAGGAAAAATCCGGAGTTGGAGCCCCAAAAGCAGTTCGACGCTGATTCCAACCCTGTTCTGGCAGATCCTGCGACCGCGTTGACACCAAATTGTATCAGCACTGCTGATCCTTTGGCCCCGTCATTGAGGGGGGGGGGAAGTTGCATGGGCAACAGCCTGTCCCCCATATCATAATGCCCAGGCTTACAAACTGGCTGAATGCATCTACCCGGAATCGCAGTGCAGTTTTCGAGCTGGAAGGTCCACCGTGGACATGGTCTTTTCCCTCCGCCAACTCCAGGAGAAGTGCAGAGAGCAACGAACGCCCCTGTACGTCAAAAAGAGTGGGGCGAGCACACAGCCTTGTTTGACACCACTGCGTATTTCAAAGGGCTCAGAGAGACTACCTTTGAACTGCGCAGTCCCCTTCATGTTGGAATGGAAGGACTCGATCAGGCTGTGCAGTTTTTCAAGACAGCCAATTTTTATGAGAACCTTGAAAAGACCATCTCTGCTAACGAAGTCGAAGGCCTTGGTGAGGTCAATGAAGGCGGGATCTTCTTCGCCCTCCTCCTGAGATATGCATTCGGTTCAGCACAAGAAGGGATATATCTTCGGACTAGATCAGATGGTAGACTCTTCAATCTTGCCCGCCTGAATGCGAGGACAAAGGTTCGTGAAGTACTCGTTAGGGACATGCTGTTTGCTGACGACGCTGCAGTTGCGACTCACACCGAATGGGAACTGCAACTGCTGATGGACCACTTCTCGCAGGCCTGCCAAGAATTCGGACTAACTATCAGCCTGAAGAAGACAAATGTACTGAGCCAGAACACACTGACACCACCAGTCATCAATATCGATGACTATGAGCTCAATGTCGTTCACCAGTTTATCTACCTTGGCTCTACCATTACTGACAGCCTCTCGCTTGATGCTGAGATCGACAGGAGAATTGGAAAGGCAACCACAATGCTTGCTCACCTTACGCCAAGAGTGTGGACAAACTCTAAGCTGACCGTGAGGACGAAGATGTCTGTGTACAGCGCCTGTGTCCTCAGCACCCTTCTATATGGCAGCGAGACGTGGACTACTTATGCCAGCCAAGAGAAAATACTGAATACCTTCCACCTCAGAAGCCTGCGACACATACTTGGTATCTCCTGGCAAGACAAGTTAACTAACACCGATGTCTTGTCTTGTACGAACCAATCTACCACTTACACTCTGTTACGACAGCGCCGGTTGCACTGGATAGACCACATGTGCCGTATGAAGGATGGCCGAATCCCAAAAGACATCCTCTACAGAGAGCTTGCAGAAGGACAGAGAGGCATTGGCCGCCCACAGCTGAGATACAAGGATATTTGCAAAAGAGACATGAAGGTGCTCAACATCAACACCGAAACTTGGGAGGACCTTGCTGCCGATCGCGCCGACTGGAGAAACACTCTCCGTAAACAGCTGAAGATCGGTGAAAAGGAATTGACGGTGGCGGTCTCCTTAGTCACAGGAGATGCTGCTCCAGACGAGCGATCAACACGAGCTAACAATGGACAGATGCTCATCCATGGTCAAACCTGGCCGAAGGAGGCCTACTACTAATACTTCACAGGTTCTTAAAAAACATTTCCATATTTTACAACTTGGAGAACACCTAAAGCTGACCATCCCTTAAATTCTGGTCATTTCCTTTAAAAAACAACAATAAAAGCCATAGAGATATCATTGTTCTTGCAAAAATGAATTGTACAATGCCACAGAATAGCTGTAATAAAGTTCAATGTCAGATTTTTAAATGTATAGAAAATACCAGTACTCTGTCTGACCAACAATGAAAAATTCACTAATGCATAACAAAACCAAAGATATATATTCTATACATTGCAAAAAATGTAGCCATGATTATATAAATAAACCCAGACTACCCTTAAATAATGATTTAGTAATCACAAATATTTTGTCACAACTGAAAAAAAAAATCTGTTGCCATATACTTTAACCAACTTGACAATTCCATCAATAACATGGTTCTCTGAGGTACTGAAACCAGGTTTAACTAAAAAGCTGACAGAGAAGAAAAAGAAGTTTATTGGATCAGTATATTATGCCATGTCCTCCAGATAGTATTAACTCTATTATTAGGTTTCTTTTTTTTAATTCTGCACTCTGCCAGTTCCTGTATCTTAAAGCACTTTTATTATTAAACCTCCTGCTTGTTTTGGACATTATATCATTCATAAGCACATTATTTTAATTCTCATCAGAACACCTTTGAAAATTTACATTATGGAACACCTGAAGTCAAACTGGACCCAAGCACAAAATTACCATTATAGTAGACTCTGGACTGAAATTCCATAAAACAACATAAAAGTAGTATTAAACCATTCCTTATACAAACAGTGTATCAAAAAAAATAAAAATGCCAAAGTCATTATCCACCAATATATGATGAGATTACCATAATACTGCACAATTCAACCAAAGAAAATTGAAAATATATGTTGTGAGTCACCTTAGGTCAGACCAGACCCCAACACAAATGTATCCTTATAGTATGCTATGGATTCAAAATCCAATAAGCAGGTTCTTTACAACAATTATCAAACAAAGTTTCTTTAAGATAAGGCATTATAAGCAGTCGTCACAGAGAAAACTTGTGGAAGAACGAGATGTGCATACATACTTACCACAATGATGATATAACCAAACAATCCAATTGATACTGTACTACTTTGATGAATTAACCTCTATAACAGCCTATATAGTGAAATAAACTATAGGGTGAACTGCATGTATAGTAATGGTCAATGATAGTATGGGGTCTGCATGGACCCCAGATAAATATTAGATTATAGCTACATACTCCATCTGCTTGCTTGGAAAACAATGGTGTCATATTGATCCAAAGTTACTGCTTGACAATTAGATGAACTGATATAAATTTGTAACGATTATGTAAAAAAGATATACAACCGAGAAAGTTTCTCGGGTTCGTGTGGACCCTATGTGTGATGATGAGAGTTAAGCCTTTTTTTATTTCTCTTTGTTTTTCATCACTTATGCAGTACACAACTATCATATAAATGATCAACATGTTTACAATGGTCATTCTCCATATACCCCTGAAGAAGGAAAGTCCATTTTCTGAAAGCACTTGGGGTTTTTTGGGTTTCTTATCTCTTACTTGTGCCAACAAGAGATAGAACTGAAATGCTATTTTTACATACAACATTAAGAACAACAAGGGACTTCCTAGTCCATCTAGACTGTCCCACCCCCTAAGCTATAAAGAGAGCCTAGAAGACAGCCCTTATCATTCAGATATTTATCAAGCCCTTCACTGTACTCCTTTAAATGTACTGCTTCCACCACATCTGAAGAAAGCCACTCCAAAGGCCAACAACCACCTTAGAAAAATAAAACTGTTTTGGCAAAAAATGACATAAAGATTACCTTAATTACAAACTACTCTTTATGGAATAACTACTCACTTTGTGAATTACTGATTAATCATGAGGTAAATCACCTGTAGAATAAATACATGTGAACCTAGCTTATCAGGTTAACATTTATAGCATACTACCTAATGGTAGAGTATACAGCTAAGCCAATGTAGTGGTTTTTTCATTTAATTATAAATCATATATTTAGAAAACAAAAACTCCTTTAGATTCTAAAACATTTAATGTTTATTATGCTATATGTCTGAAGTGTATGTATTTCAAATATGTTAACACTTATGGGTTAATAATTTTTTGTGCATGCAAATACAGAAATGACAGTATACTGCCTTTAAAATGGAAAGAGTTAAGTTCCATATTTTTATCTTAAACACCCACCCACACACACACACATATATATTTATATGTATATATATATCCCTTTTCAGGAGTTAATATTTTCTTAAATTGCAAAATATATTCCCTGTAATACTTACCTCATCTCGTACTATAGTTATTACTCAACTGCCAGGATTTCTGATTTTTTCTTACTCCAGTCTTTTATACTCCACCTAATTGCCCTCAATGTGCCCTCTATCTTGGTATTATATAAAAACACCTCATTCAGATAGTGTTATCAATTTTCTAGATTCCCAATCTACATTCTCTAACACCAGCTCTTAGTGGGGAGGGGGAGTGTGAAAGGAGGTTAAGTATTAGTGG